AAATCATTCAAGAGAAAATCCAACCCAATCAATGAACAATTGTAAATTGAAGTGTCACTACTTCAATGATTTTCAAAATTCCAAAACAATTTCACAAAACCCTAGTCAAGATCAACCCACATGAATTGAATAATCAACAAGCACAATAATCATAATTGAGATCAAAACATTAATCCCCTATCCCTAGCATGAAGATTTAGCTACTCATATTCAAGATTAAACAATCAACCATACAAACCCAAGCTTCCATAATCAAAGATCAATTGAAAGAGAAACTTACAATTTAGATGAAATTGAAGGTTTAATCCAAGCACAAGATAAAAATCTCCAAGTGATGATGAAATCCAACATTAATATAGTGTTCTTAGGGTAAGAAAAGGGGAAAAAAAACGAGTTTGGGGGATTCATTTCGGTCTGAGAATGAGTCCCAATGCCAAAGTACTCGAAAAATAGAGCAAAAAAGGGTTTTAAAAATTTTGGTCGCGACCTCCGCGGCCGCGGGGAGCTCCGCGGCCGCGACCTTTCGCTGCAGTAGTGCTCCCGCGGCCGCGGGATTTCTCCGCTGCCCGCGGTGAACAAAATTTGGTTGTTGCGCGCGGCTTTACGATTTTTGCTCGTTCGGGTTCGTCTTAACTCGGAATTGAGTTCCGTTTTCTTCTACGCGTCGCTAACGAACCCCTCTATATTTTCTTGAAAACCTGTCCTCTCGGAGTTTCTTACCTTCACACCAAAAACAAAAACAAAACTAAAAAACACCGGAAAGCAAACGGAACACACCAAGACACTCAAAATAACGCAAAACACGCAATAAATGACAAAACGGAATAAAAACTAACTAAAAGACCTAACATAGGGGAAAAAGAAAGACAAAATGACAACGAATAATGCAACAAAAATGGGACAAACAGTAGCTTGCAAAGGGTCGAGCCTCCGTCAGCTACCTACTTCATTTTCAGCTTTTGCATCCGCCAGTTTCCAGGTGGGGACCATGTACTGTGTATTTCATTGCTTTTAATAATTTACCATGTCCGAGGTCTATATGTGATTAAATTGAAGGACCGAGACAGATGAGTGATCTCGTCTTGGTCAAGATGTCAAATGTCAGTTATGACTTAGATGAGTGCGCGAGGCCCAGCCTAAGTCCAGCGTCCAGATGAGTGGGTGATGCCCAGCCTGGATTTCTGTGAGAGGGGACCCCCAGAGTATGCACATGAGTATCGGTTAACCGTTAGTCCCATAGCCAGACTAGTTTAGTCATATATATGTTGATTTCATAGTTTGTTATTAATTGTGTTGAGTATTCAGTGCTGGTCCCGACGGGGCACCATTGATTCCTTTGTGCTCACGCCTCCCCACTACCCTATTTTTCAGGTCATGGAGTCCCGCGTGACGCGTGAGCATATATGTGGTGTTGGTCCAGCTTCAGGACATTTTTGTGAAAACATGTCATATAGTATTTGAACATGTTTGAATTATCTATGTTTGTTTTTATGCTTGTGTGTTTTTCCGAACTTGTACTTGCTTCCGCATGTTAGACTTGTGTTTCAGATGTCAGATTATGTCAAATTTTCAGAATATGCATGTTTTATCTGGTATTATTCATGGCCTTAATTCTAGAATGACTTTACTTGGTCGCATGCATGATAGATTAAAGAGATAAAGATATAAAGATTAAAGTTGACTAGCATCTCGCGTTTTAAACTTAAAGTATTTTCGAACAAAAATTAAGATGAGTTTTCGAAATTTAAATTAGTGCTTTTCAATTATAGCGCGAAAAATTTACTATGATTTTAGTAAGTTTAGGCGGGGTGTTACAGGGACGCCCCACTGGAGATCTCCACAGCCACCATCCAACGATGAAGACGGCGAGGATACCATCTCGGAGGTTAATCCATTCGGCTAGTGGCAACCTCCGCACGTCGAGGCTGACCCATTCGCGGCATACGGCAACCGTGACATGTGGCGACGGGGCACGGTCTTCGTGGACGACGACGATCAACGCGATGACAAAGGCAAGTGCAAGGCGGCTGCCTTCGCCAGCAGATATCGTGCCCGACACGATCTGAGACTTGAACGTGATGGTGTCGGCTTCGCGGGGTTCAACCAGCAGCGACACAGTTGGGATTTTGGGCACATTTTTTGGGTCTGTCAAGGACCCGAAGACTTTGGGCCTATGCAGAGGGAATTTGATCACGAATATGGTCAATGGGAGGGCTCGTTTCGCGTTGACATTGTCGAATTCGATGGAGAGAAAGTTGATGGGCCATTGTATGACGGTCCACCGATCTTTAATGAAGAGCTCCGGTGACAGAGAATAATCTTTGCGGGGACATGGGAATTGATGAGAATGCAGTTGTCTACATGGATGGAGATGGTTTCAAAATGTGTAGTGGATCAGTATTAATTGATGTATATTCAGACATTGATACATCCATTGCTTGTGATTCATGTGATATGTGGTATAACGTTTTTTGTGTGGGAATTGATCCTAAAGGCAGATGTGTTGGTTCTTGGTTGTGCCCAAGAGTCTCAGTATGCTGATGATGGTGAGACGGCTGTAGTCGTATCCTTGTTTGATAAAAATCAAGAGTGTGTAGCATTGGTTGGGCGACGTTCAACTTTCGTGTTTGACCGGGGAAAACGACGGGGGTTTTCTACCATGGATTTGACACCACACGTCGGCCACGGGAGTGCATCGGCTTCGAGCGCGAAGCCTTCCAAACCGGGGGAGAATGGTGTATATTAGTATTATTGTTATTATATTATTATTATTATTATTATTATTATTATTATTATTATTATTATTATTATTATTATTATTTAGTGGCTTGGTGCACAAATTAGGGTTTAGGGTTAGGGGTCTTATATAAAGGACTCCCTCTAGTTTATTTTAGTTGGTTGATTATGAATAAAAGATGATTTGATATTCGTGTTTTGATGTTTTTGAGATTGCGATCTCATTAATATCGTCGCACTCATACGCCTTTTCCCTACATCAGTACACATATCCTATATGATACTTTGAATACATCATACACTATTCTTTTTTAAATTAATAAACAAAAAAAAAAAATCACGGTTGATATTTGAATTATACACAATTTTTTAAATTTTTATGAGTCATCGTATATTTTATATATGATCACTCGATGGGGACAAGGATATAACTCAGCGGTAGAGAATCTACCAAAACCACGATCATTAACAAATGCATAAATATATTCCTTAAAAAATAAGTTTCCAAAAGCTCGGATCGAATCGGTATTGATATATCGATTCGCTCCGAGCTCTCTTATTGGATTGAGATTATGGAAGTTAATATTCTTGCATTTATTGCTACCTTGTCCCACGCGAATCGTTTACAGAAATTATTCAATATCCTATTTATAAATTTAAGTATTCAACAATTGAACAGTCAACTTTTAAACATAATAGTTGTATATAAACTGTAAATATACTTTTTGCACACAAATATTTATGGAGCTGAAACGTAGGGTCCTTGTTTGCATAGGACCCACACCAGCTCCGACCCAAAATCATGGAGAAAATCCAGTGTTTTAAAACGCGTATAGCGTAATGTGTCGCGTTTTGGTCTTTATATTGCGTAGCGTAAATAGCGTAACGTGTTGCGTAAGCTATTTGGGTATAATGTTTTTTATATAGAAATATTACAAATACATTTGCATATAATGAAACTGGATGGTTGATTACAAAAATTATCATAGTAACTGAATGACTTAAAAAATAACGTCTAAGGTTATTTTTTCACAAATATTCAATGTAAATATCATATAATATAAATATTAAATAATAAATCAAATATACTAAAAAGTAAAAACAAACAACGAAAATATAATGAGATAAGTCATAGTATAATTTTAAGTATATACATTTTATTTTATTTATTTATTTTGGTTTAACTACAACTTAATTCTAACCATTAGATATGAATGTTTTATGCTTTTTTTAAATGTCAAATATCGAAAAATAAAATGATATAACTAAAATGAACCAATAAATATTGAACTATTCAACTTAGGACTTTCCATTTCCAAACTTTTAATTTGAATTCATTATCAAAATTTTTAGTTTTTAGTTGTCATTTGTAAATATGACTATGCTCCCTAAAAAGTACGAAGTTTTTGATTATTTCATAATTCAAATGTCGTTGTAGAAGTATAGCGTAATTTAATAGCGTGAAATAGCGCAAAATAGCGTAAGAAAGTGTGCTATTTTGACATTTCGCGCAAGCTTTTCCGGAAAAACACTAAATATAAAAGGCTACGTCGCGTTTTTCTAAAAATAAGTTATATAGCGAGCTATTTAAAACAACGAGAAAAACACAAGAGCTCACGATTTCTATGTTGATCTCTCTCCCGTCTGAGTGTGGGGGCGCCAAAACATATCTTAGGTCGACCCACGGCTAAAATCGGTAAAATGATCACCCAACCGGTCCCATTATCAAATGTTGAAATTCGTAAGACTCCTAACCCATTGGTTGACTAACGACAATCATGCTTTCACTTTATTTATGTATAAAATCCACATTAAAATGTATTGAAAAAGAGACAGAAAAACACAATGAAAGATGCACTTTCAAATTTATACAATCAAGTTCATATCTTCGTCTCAGTTGTTCTCCTACACCAATCTTGATGGCGACGAGATCGCACTTGCCTTTATGGAGAAACGAGACCGACGTCGCCATTGATCATTATCTTATTATTCAGTTTTTTATTTTTATTTAGCATATCATATTTATTTAGTTGCCTATTTTATTTAGTTGATTTAGGAAAGTTATTATTTTCTTTTCTTAGGAAATAAGTAAGATTTTTTAGTATTTGGAACTCTATTTATTGAGGGCTGTGAACAGATGTTGGAATTGAATCGTTGATGAATAAAAATTATCAGTTCTTGAGTTCTTTGTTCCTTCGTTTAATCTTTCGCTGCGTCAGTTGGTATCCAGAGTCCAGTACGTTCCAAGATGCCGCCAAAGAAGAATGATGGCGTCGATGCCGCAATTGAGATGCTTAGTCGTCAACTCACGGAGATGCAAACAGGGTTTGGACGGCAATTCGATCTCATGGATCGACGAATCACCGATTTGGCAGAGGGTTTCGAGGATCGATTGGCAGGACACGCTGCTCATACGGATGATCGAACGAACCGTGGCCGGGGCGGACGGCACGGTGGAGCGCCCGGAGGACGCGGCCGGGGTAGACGTGGGGCGCCCCGCGACCGGTCGCCTAATCCGTGGAATGGAGGGGGTGACGACGACGACACCCTTTCCGATTACAACCCATTCGGTCAGCTTGAACACGAGAACGAGGGCCCGCACGATGATCGGCGTTGGGAGTCCTCTTTGAATGTTGATATCCCGGAATTCACCGGAGGCTTGGATTCTTCGGAGTTCTTGGATTGGTTGGCCGCGGTCGAGACCGCCCTCGACTTCAAGGAAGTGCCGGATGATCGGAGAGTGGCCTGGGTGGCGACACGGTTCCGCGGCCGGGCTGCCGCGTGGTGGCAGCAATTAAAGGAGTCCCGGCAGCGGTATGGTAAGTCCAAGGTCACGTCTTGGGCGAAATTTCGCAAACACCTTGAACGTGAGTTCCTCCCGTATAATTATGTTCATATTATTTATCAACAGTTCCAAAATTTACGGCAAGGTACTCGTTCAGTTAATGAATATACTGATGAATTTTATCGCCTAATGACCCGAGTAGAACTTCGTGAATCAGTAGATCAACTTGTGTCCCGATATATTGGTGGATTGCGGGTTCCCTTGCAAGATACGTTAAATCTTTTTGCGCCGGTTTCTCTTTCGGACGCCCACCAGCGGGCGGTGCTTGTGGAACAACAGCTCGGCCGGCGAGCCGGGCCGTCCTTTTTGCTGACGAACAGGTCAGGCCCCGGGTCCACTTCAGCGGGGCCGTTCTCGAGTCGACCGGTGGCAGTAGGCGGCTCCTCGCAGGTGGCTGGTTCGAGTGGGGCTGGGGGCAGGTCGTTTCCGTCGACGGGGAGTGCTTCGGCGGCAGCAGGAGGTTCCCAGGCGAGGTCGCGGGCTGGCCCGGGCTTTCGTTGTTTTTCGTGTGGTGAGCTTGGACACCGCCATTCTATGTGTCCGCGTAATCCGAGTTCCCGGGCTCTTTTTTCTGGTGAGGGTGGTGACGAGGAGGACATTGGCGATTATTCGGGCCCGGCGGTGTTTGATGATGAGGGGGTGCTGGAGGAAAAGCATTTCACGGGTGATGTGGGCCAGGCCCTTGTTCTTCGTCGGGCTTGCTTGGCTCCGCGGCATGCGCAAGACGAGCCTATTCAGCGGTCTCATCTCTTTGAGTCCACTTGCACGATTGGTGGGAAGGTTTGTCGTTTCATCATAGACTCGGGCTCTTGTGAGAATGTCATTGCGCAGGAGGCCGTCAATAAATTGCACCTGTCTACCGAACCGCATCCTCACCCTTACACTCTCGCATGGATTCAACGTGGCAATGCTATCACTGTGGACCGTCGTGTTATGGTTGCTTTTTCTATTGGGGACACGTATCGGGACTCGATTTGGTGTGATGTTGTCCCAATGGACGCCTGTCATCTCCTTTTGGGTCACCCATGGCAGTTTGACCGTGATGTTCATCATTCTGGTCGTCTCAATACCTATAGTTTCGCTTTTCAGGGAATGAAGATTGTTTTGCATCCCAGTCCACCTCGACCTCCTTCGCCGACACAGCCTTCTGTTATGCTTTTGTCCAAGGGTGCTTTTCAGCATGAGATGAAGACTGCTCCTTTTGCTATTCTATTACTATGTTCGGACACACCTCCGGACCACGAGCCTCCCGTTGAGGTTCGGCCACTGCTCGAAGAATTTTCTGATGTGTTTCCGGATGCTTTACCTGTCGGCCTGCCTCCTCTACGTGACATACAACATCACATTGATCTGGTGCCTGGGGCGCCACTTCCTAACCGGCCACATTACCGCATGAGTCCGGTGGAGCATGAGGAACTACGTTGCCAGGTGGAGGATCTCTTACAGCGTGGGCTGGTTCGTCGAAGCCTGAGTCCGTGCGCTGTCCCGGCGTTGCTTATCCCTAAGAAGGACAGCTCCTGGCGAATGTGTGTTGACAGCCGGGCTATAAACAAAATCACGGTACGTTACCGCTTTCCTATTCCTTGCCTTGATGATTTGCTTGATCAGTTGTATGGGGCTTCGATCTTTACTAAATTAGATCTCCGGAGCGGTTATCATCAAATCCGTATACGCCCGGGCGACAAGTGGAAAACCGCTTTCAAGATTCGCGAGGCCCTTTTTGAGTGGTTGGTCATGCCGTTTGGATTGTCGAATGCTCCCAGCACCTTTATGCGTGTTATGAATCAGGCCCTTCGCGAACTCATCGGCAAGTGTGTCGTCGTTTATTTCGATGACATTCTTATTTATAGTCGTTCTCTTGAGGAGCATTTGGGCCATGTTCGGGAGGTCCTGCTTATCCTTCGGGCCGAGTCGTTCTTTGCCGCCCCGAAGAAGTGTTTCTTTCTTGTTGATTCGGTCCTGTTCCTTGGGTTCGTGGTTTCTTCATTGGGAATCCGGGTCGACGATAGCAAGGTTGCAGCGATTCGTGATTGGCCTACTCCGACGTCTTTTACTGAGGCTCGCAGCTTCCATGGGTTAGCTTCTTTTTACCGTCGGTTTATCTCTCATTTTAGCACGATCACAGCCCCCATCACCGATTGCCTTATCGGGAAGAGCTTTGTGTGGACTGCTCAGGCAGCTGAGGCTTTCGCTCTTATCAAAGAGAAGCTCACCTCAGCCCCTGTGTTGGTTTTACCGGATTTTTCCCGGCCATTTGAGCTTGTTTGCGATGCGTCTAAGGTTGGGGTTGGCGCTGTTTTGAGTCAGGAGGGACGGCCGGTTGCTTATTTTAGTGAGAAGTTGTCGGGTCCTCGCCTTCGATACAGCACTTACGATGTCGAGTTCTATGCGGTGTATCGTGCTGTGCAGTATTGGCGACATTACCTCTTTCAGCGAGAGTTTATTCTTTTTACCGACAATGAGGCATTACGACATCTTGGCTCTCAGGGCGGGATTTCTGCCCGCCATGCTACTTGGTCCGCATATTTACAGCAGTTTACTTTTGTGTTGAAGCATCGCTCGGGTGCTTCCAATCGAGTGGCGGATGCTTTGAGTCGACGTTCCCTGGTCCTGACTGACATGCGTGTGACGGTTGTGGGATTTGATTTGTTGCGAGACCTTTATGCGACGGATCCTTTTTTTGGGTCTATTATGTCACGTCTTGCTACGGGCCCATACGAGGACTATATTCTTTTCGATGGTTTCCTTTTTCGTGGCGTTCGCCTTTGTCTTCCGGATTGCAGTCTACACCTTCGCTTGA